GTGATGTGGCAGAACAAAGAGAGAGGAGGAACAAAGAGGATCAAGTACAGGTCGTGGTGGGGGAAAAGTTCACCCATCTGAGTGTGTGTGTGTGTGTGTGTGTGTGTGTGTGTGTGTGTGTGTGTGTGTGTGTGTGTGTGTGTGTGTGTGTGTGTGTGTGTGTGTGTGTGTGTGTGTACCTGTGTTGTAGGCCAAAGCTGACACGGGGCTCTTTTGTGGAAGCATACTTTTCATTCTGGTTGCTTCCTCTGGATGGTTGAACCGAAAGAAGTAGGATTTACCCAGACACAGAGAATAACCTGGAGAGAACAACACAAGGTCAAATTAAAAATTGTAAAAAGAAAAAGTAAGTAAGTTTAAAAAAGTGTAAATCTAGTATTTACTGAGACAGAGCTTGAGTATATTTAGGTAATGTGTAGTATAAATAGATGTACAGATACACATTTAATCATGGATCAAAAAGTCATTTTAAACAAAAAAATATTGGAGAGCATAGAACAAGGCCATTTGACATATTTATTAAGTATATATACTATACACCGCTGTCTGTTTGAAGTATGGAGAGGCAGTCATAAATACAGCTTAAAATTGGTCTGAGCCTGGAGTATTTGTTCACAGCCAGAAACTCACTTCCACACACTCGTGCACAGCCGGCCATTCCCAACCACAGTGTTTGCTCTGGCCATCAATTAGCCTTGGAGCGCCAGGTATTAAACAAGATGTCAGGGTCACAACCCCTGTAATACACACAGACAGCCACAGCTGTACAAATAGCTCAGAAGAGAGTGGAGAGAGACAACAGTGCTGACAAACACTCACAGGAGATCTGAAACAGGAAAAGGGCAACAGTAGAGAGACCGCAAACAAAGATGAAAAGACGATGCAACAAAAAAAGGAGAGCAAATCACAAGACTGACTAAAACAAAGAGTTCCCTCTCATTTGTCTGTCCCTTCTCACACACAATCTCTTGGCTCTCTCCATTCTTTTAACCTCCACCCCGGAGGGTAGCAGCGTCAGATGAGCACTACAGTAAACCCCCAGTATGTGTGTAAAAGGCTAAAAAAGAACCTCCTTAATAGCTCCATTACAGTAACATCAGATTCCTTGGACCTGAAGTCAGACACAGAGGCAAGAGGGGGGACAGCGACAGGGTGAATGGAAAAAGACCGAATGGAAAAAGTTGTTATTCTTTCTTTTCCCCTTCTCTCGTTCGTATCCCTTTCACCCTTTTCTTTCTCACTCTTCACCTAATGTCCAGTTTCGCTAACATCGCCATGAAAAGCTGTGCTAATAGACACATAAGAGGTCATATTTGTCTAGACGATGCCTTAGAGTGCAGAGAGAGCAGATTCTGCCTTCAAAGCTGTAATTTCTCAGCACAGGGGGGGACCTGAGTGCTGTGGTGAGGTGGACTGTGAACGTCTCAAATACATACTCAACACAATCCTGCAGGTTTGGGCGCAAACTGTGAAGCAGTGGCATCCTGACAGAGAGATCAAGAGATGAGTGTTGTGAGTACAAAGGATAGAAAACACACACGGACATGTCACCGTGAAGGTTAGTGTGAGCATGGAATAATGACATGTTTCTCATTGCCAGACATGAGTAAATGTTGTGATGCTCCTGTGTATCTGTGTGTGTGTGTGAGTGTGAGTGTAAACATGTCTCGTAACACTGTCTGCCTAATGAATCACAGCAAGTCTCAGTATTTACACAACAGCACACACACACACACACACACACACACACACACACACACACACACACACACACACACACACACACACACACACACACACACACACACCTCTTGTAAAAATCTAATTTCCTTCCCTCAATAGGCTCGCCATGTGCCACCTTTAAAGTGGGGAGTAAAGTGTGTCGCCCTGATTTGTTCACAACCCCCAGCTCTCTGGTCTATCTAATTTCCTCTTAGTGCTTATTGGCTAACAAATAACTGCTAATCCTCTCCTTCAGCATAAGCAAATCTCTGTTGGTGACAGAGAATGAAAGGAAGATGGAGACAGTACTGTTAGAAAACGTGAAGATTCAACTTTCAAAAGTTTCAAAGTTCAAGAAACGCAATTTTGGAATGCAATTTAAATCCAATTAATTCTGCTATCCTCAATAACACATCCCCTCTTCCTTCAAACACACACACAAGAAAGACATACCATCTATAACACAACATCTTTCATCTCCTTCATGTTTACTTGTTTACCAGCTAATTAAGTTTGCCTCCCACGTCAAAGCAGCCCCCCAACAAACACATATGGACAGACCCTCTGCAACTACAACACAACTTGAAATTAGTCTGTATATACATTTATAGGATCATTTAAAGTTTGCAATCTACAAAGTCAGACCTCAGAGTCTTTGAGGGAGCAGATGTCGGAGCCGTATCACGTCTGGAGCCAATTTTTGTTTCCATGTAGATCTGAGCGGACCAAACTTCACTCTCACCACAATGTTATGGAAGAGGAAACTTAAAACTGTTTCTCTATTTGGTTAACTCAAGTGGAGGAATTGCCAAATTGAGACCATTAGGTTAGAACGAAAAATAAACCAATGGCAAAGATCCCATGACGAACATGTGCTTAGATGAAACTCACTTACCTGCTAATTGGTCTGGTTTGACGTGTGAAGTAATCACAAAAAAAATCACAACTAATCACCAACCATTTCCTGATGCAGTCTGAAAAAATACTTCCATGATTCTGCTTTATCAAAATGTTGCAATGTTCCCTTAAATCGACATGGTACTGCACTACATTTACTCATTCATGAAAAGATGCATACACACAAGGGCCCAGTGGGAGTGTAAATTGGCCTCAAAAACCACAAGCTCTCTCTGGGGAACAGGGGTCCAGCAGTAACATCATAAATAAACAGACTGGTCTTTCTCAGGGGAGCTGCTGCAGATTAGGTCAGTCAGTCAGTCACACTTTTCCAGTCTCTCTTTCTCTCACAAACACAGACTAACCAGATGCATGCATTGTCTCCCCGCCGGCGGCTCAGTAGATATCTTGTCTCTGCTCTTATCTCAACTCTCATGCACACAGCATCAATCTATTGACCCTCACCCCAAACAGATACATTGTGCTTAAGCAAAGGTTGCAGGCCTGGGGAAACCAACAGGTATATATCAATAACAATTGATGACAAGATGTATTTCTTATTCAATTGGTTTATAGTGCAAGATTGTGCTGTTAAACGGAAAAACGGTGCTTTAGGCAGGGAGGAGAAAGACTAGTGAAGACAATAACATCCAGAACAATGAAGCCGTATTGTTTTCAGGTGTCAGGTGTCCTGACCACTGCCTGTCCTCACAGCCATGGGCTCTTTGTCATGTGCATCCACACCAGTCTGTGAACTTGCCTGCTAATTTATGACCCTGAGGCATGCACACCCATGTTATTTCCACCAGAAGGTGCAGACAATATGCCAAAATGTTGCAATGGAAAGCCTCCAAGAGTTGACTCGACTGTAAATAAGAAATGTGACTTTCACAACTCGGTGGCTTGAACTGCAGAAGCAGCACTGATTCCCAACACATTCTTCAACAATAAGTCATATAAAGTTGTGCTTTACAGTCATTTTTACGCAATCAAAGCAGTTCAAAAGAGTTTCAGTTTAATGCACCAGTGCCTCCATTGATTTAGGGGACAGATGGGATTTCAATGACAGCCAATCACAAGGGATTTTGATTTTGAAAGGAAAATCTATAATAGCAGCAAATGCTCCACATCACGGCTGGTAAAGTAGTCAGTTCAGCTCTACTCATCAGTGTGACGAGTCTTCAAATAAACAAATGCATCGATCCATTGGAATAGCATTGCTCAACCTGTTCAAAGAGCATGTAGACACACTACCAGACAGATAGATAGATAGATAGATAGATAGATAGATAGATAGATAGATAGATATAGATTAAAATAAAGCACAACTACGCTAAAGTTGCAACTGTAAGGTGTTCAGCCTCGCAAATAAGAATTCTAAAATACACATACGTTATTTAATTAAGGAAAAAGTAGAAGGATAAAAATATGACAAGCTGAAATGTATTTACATGAAGTAGTGCGCCACAACATTGCATGAGTAAATGTAGCCTTATGCGAATTTCTTTAGGAGCTAGCATAATAAAGGTCCGTTACATACCTTTTGAGTCCCATTCAGTGAACACGTATCACGAAAAAAACGAATTTCTTCGTTCTAACGTCAAACAAATTATCGTCACTTCTTCTAGAAAAGTCAAATAAAACGAATATTATATATATGTATATATACACTCGTGCCGGTCCCTGTGTTGTTGTTTGCCTCGCTCCTCAGCTTTCAACAACCTCCTCACCGTCTTCACTCCGTGTGGAAGAAAGTTTACTGATTTAGCATGAACTGAGTCCGGACTGAACCAACTCTTGAAAAAGGGGTGGGAGTCTCGAGTTTTAGCAGAGAAAATAATTGTATATATTGTCAATAATCCCAGCATCATTATTTAAGGTTAATAATGTCTAATCGACAAGTAAAAGAGAATAAAACAATAGTGCAAGTAGTTAAAACTACAAGTAAAACTAAACGATAATACCACTACCCCCTATCTGCAGTTGGTAGGTTCAAAGGCTTTTAGACAGTGAGGTATTTGCAGGACGCCCCCTCAGCTTTTCTTTGTCTACCTACCTATTTTCCTTCTCTTTTCATTTAAATCCATTGGACCAGTGTTCCCCCAAAACAGCTGCACTACAGAGAGAGACTGACTTAAAGTCCTCTAAAACTGGTGTGTGGATTCTATTATAATGACACACTAATTAATTTAAGAATAAGTGAATTTGACTTCTAAGACAAAGCAACAGTAGAGAAAGGACATGTAAGATATTTGGTGGTATGCCACAGAGACTTACTGGCTGCAGCCCATAATGGAATACTACTTTATTTTGCCCTTCAGTCAGAGTCAAAAGTAGTCTTTGAAACTGTTTCTTTCAGATGCTTTGTTAACTGCAAGAATTTCCAACAAAACATGAACCCATTCTTTTCTCATGCATGCAGATGTGTGTGTATTTGAGACAGACATAGAGAGAGAGAGAGAGAACAGAGTGGGTATAAGACCAGCTGTGTTTGGTTCAGCAAACTGATTTGCATTGTCTTCAGACCAGTGTGAATGCTGGGAGATTGAGTTTTATATCCAAGCTCCATTTTAATATGAACTGAGATGCATAATAGAGGTTATCCCATTGTTTTTTTGTAAGCATTAGAAAGAAGAAAGCCTAAGGTTGTTTCTGCTTCACGATGATTATTGTAACCGTGCTGCAAGAACATATTACTTTTCAAAAAGTGACTTCCAGGTGTCCCAGTGAGTTAGTGGGAGAACTGATGTGATTCCAGGTCAAGCTCTGAAGTCCCAAATACAGAACAGATCACTTCCTAAACATAGCTAATCATCTCCAGGCTGCTCTACAGCGGGCATGTGTCTCTGTGTGTGTCTCTACGAGTTTGTGTGTGTGGTTACACTAACTCAACCCAGAGCATCTGAGGCCTGTATTTCTGAAAGATGTTCTCTTTCCCCATAATTTTCCAAACCATGCCCTTTTGACTTTTTTAACCCCTTTTTCTCTTTCAGACCTCTCTCCACCCCTGTTAATTCACAATGCCCTGTCCTTGTGTGAGTGGACACAGCAACATGATGTCAATATTTGAATCAGCCAGGCACAGCAGGAACATAATTAGGCCTGTCAATATTTAACTAGAAATTGCAAGACCACACAGGACACTATGAAAAGGAGAAAGGGGTACATAGAAAGGGAATGGAGCTACCAGTAAAACAGGGAGAGCTTTGTAACAGGGTAAATCCAGAAAAAGGGAATTTGGCAGAAGAGATAGGACAGACTGACCAGAGATACAAATATCAAGATACTGCCTGACAAAAAACAGACATGTGAGCAGAGGTAAACAGAAAGATAAGAAACAAATATTTAAGAATTTGGGAGGTTAATCTTTTAGTTTATGTGTGTTTTGCAAGTATCCTGTAGAAACAGAATGTGATGTAAAGCATTTGCTCTGCAGTCGCTGGAAGCTGTGACTCACTGTAGCAGCTAGCTCCAAACCGCAGTGAATTAAACCAATCCAGAGGTACACACACACACACACACACACACACACACACACACACACACACACACACACACACACACACACACACACACACACACACACACACACACACACACACACACACACACACACACACACACACACACACACACACACACACCTAAACATGTGGAACTGCTCACACATACTTAGGCCTGTACATTTGTATAAAAACACACACACAAATACAGTACACTCCGTGTTTCCATGCAGAACCTCAGCACAATGTTAACTCTGGCCATATGACATACACACATTGAAAGGAATGCAAGTTAACCAAACCACAAGCTAACCACCCTCACTCTTTCACACACAAGTTATGAAATACTTTAAGTATGCACACTCCATGCAATTAAGCAAACTTTTACTCCACATATTGTATGACCAGTAGGTGGCAATATATCCCTCTTACCCCTCTCAGCATAAAAGCGTGTGTTTGTGTGTGTTTGTGAGTGTGTATATCTTACCTTGTGTTAGTGGTGTGGGCACAGTGACCTGCACTCCATCCAGACTGCAGAGGTTACCACAAGGGTCAAGGGTCACCACTCCTCCTGTGTTAGAGGTTATAATGACGAGGTTAAAAAAAAATGTGTTCCTTCACTTCAAAGTAAAGCAACTGCAGATTGCTACGCACAATTACACACAAATACTTCCCTGGTGAATGATGACTCCAAACGACACTACCAGTTGTAATAACAGCATACACACAAAGCCATGCTATTTCTATCTTCACTAAAAGGCTTTGTGCTGAGCGCTGTGTGTTGTATAATTACTGTGTATAGTAATTATACAAGATGATTCACACAGGAACAAAAAAGAAGAAAGCACCAAGAGTGTAATCAATCACTTGACATCTCACTGGCAACGATCATTTTCTTTCATTCACACAATACATTACCAATCTACTGACAGATATCGAGCTTACGAGTTCACTCAATTTAATATTTATCTTGACACATTATTTCACCTGAAACAAATTACAGTGTGTCTGTGATACGGTAATTATGTTGCAGTTTTCTTATGATGATGCTCTTAACAGAAGGCAAAATACTTTTCATCTTTCTAACAGTTTGACAGATCTCTTTTCATTGGCAGATTTAATGATCTTCTTTAAGCAAGGCGAGATTTTAAGATCCAAGCAAAGCTTTCTAAAAGGAATTATTGGCAGCTAGAACTTTTAGAACACACTTGTCAGACCAAAAAGTTAAGAGAACTGCTAATATAATGAATTATTTTTGTGAAAAGTGAACTGACATCAACCTTCATTGAAGATGAGACAGTGCTCTGCCTCGATGCCTGCTCCCTGGATGGTGATATCTTGAGGAATTGGAGCATCTTCTCGGCCAATGCGGGTCACCCCTGGAACAACAAGCAATACACAAAAACATTTAAAAAGACAAAACAACAGTATAGGGAATTTTTTTTTTTTTTTTTATGTGTTCCAGTCATCATTGAATCTCCATTACTCTGGACACTTGTTACTAGCAAATATACATATACATGCGTTTGAACCATATGGGTGGCACAATGTATTAGGTTGCTTCAGAATCATTCATTTTAACTGGTTGTTCTTCGTCATTAGACATTTAGAGAAAAATAGACCCTCGGTTCTCCTTAAAGGGATTTTTCACATTGCTGGCATTCCTCGCTGAAATGGAAGGGCACATTTTGTGTTTTGTACATTTTGTTCTTATGAGAATCAACCAATTTAACTCTATAAATGTAGACATCTGACTTATTATAGCAATATGTCATACTGGAGCAGCTTCATTTAAAAAAGTTAATAAAATGTATTTAAAAGCAATCACAATGTTTTACTGCACTGTTCTCATGGTCCAGAGGAGGCCAAACAAAACGTCTCTGTCCCTCTGCACTGGGAATATAATGAGAGCTTTGTTAATAAGACATGTTAACTTGACCAGTGTTATCTAAGGACAGATCCTCACTACAATGTAAGGATATTAATCTCATATCAGTCAGTTGTTATTATATTCCCTCTTCTGTCTGCAGGCCATTGAATTTTAATCAGTTATACAAGCATGTCTCTCATTATATCACGCTGTAGATCTACTTATCTTTGCTCCCATCTATTCGCTTTCCTGTGTTTGGCCAACTGTCTGGAATAATGATTAAGCAATGGCACCTGTTGCTTGCTGATCTGATGAATGCATGGTGTGTGCATGTGTGTGTGTGCTTTAAAGAGAGTGAATGAGGAAGGTGTGCAAAATACCTGTGGATGGCTGATGATAGAGAATATATAAATAACTCTAAATGCACCGCCATTATGTCACAATTATCAGGTGTGTTTGATTTGGACACGAGTTCTCTATAAGGTACAGTGTTTGATTCTGGTCTTTTAGTTTAATGGAGTATTTTCTCTGTTGTTGTAGACACTTTCATGAAACCATGAGTCATCCCTGTTTTATAGCTGTTTTGATTCTAGCTCAGTGTATCCCTCTTTTTTTACACTGTTAACTGTGCGTTCAGTCTGCGCACAAACCAGAAAGTGGGGTAATTTTCTTCCCAAATGACAGTTAAAATAAATAACCAGGGACGTGGTTGTAGTAGTTTGTTTGAATATGTGTTTTTGGTCCAGGGGAGCCCTGTGGGATGAAGGAGTGTTGGCTTCTTGTCTTGACTTTATTGCGACCCAGTCTCACTTTCCCCTATCCCCGACACTTCTCCAGCAACCGTGAAAATGAAGCAATGGTTGGGCGGGGAGGAAAAAGAGGGGATCATTTAGCGGGAAAAGCAGGGAACAAAGCATTGAGGGAAGTTCAAAGAAAGGGAAGAGGAAGGGACAAAAATATCTGGTTTCACAGGTGACGGCTTTACATGACTTGTGTTAAAAAACATGGTAATCCAAGCCCATGGTGTATGGTTTCTATGCTGTGTGTATTTGTGTGTGTGTGTGTTACCTTCTTTGAGTGGCAGCAGGGTGATGGCCACACTGAGCCTCCCGCTGCCCAGGCTCACCAGATGGGGAGAGGCTGTCTGGACCTTCAGACCCTTCCCTGTGTCAATCAGGTCCAGAGACGGAGACTACGAGCATCAGGCAGAGGGGAAAGGTCATTTCCAAACAAAGGTATTTATTATTGTTTCTGTGTGTGTTTGTGTGTGTGTTCTCTAACCTTATGTTCAACTGGGGACATCTGATCTGACTCTGGCTGGAACATCATCTCACAGTCCTGGAGGAGAGAGAAAGGAAAATCAGCTCTGAGACATATAATTATAATACATTCACAAAAGTCTTTAATGTTTTGTTCTCATCATTTTTTTTATATTGAAATGTACATGAGGGTTTTTCAGTATCTTGGATCAGTCTCTTGAAGTCTAATCATCTTCAGCATATAAGGCCACACTGTGCTGAAAATGGTGTAAACGTACAATCATTCATCCATTCATGTAAGCTAACATAATAAAGATAATAAGAGCAGGCTCACACAAGTACACATAATAATAATAATAAATTGTATTTATAAAGCACTTTTCATTGCTAAAAGCAATCCCAAAGTGCTACAGTAGGCGTAAGAACCAAATACAAGAAACAAAACATCTGCACAAATGATTACACACACACACACACACACACACACACACACACACACACACACACACACACACACACACACACAAAAGTTAAACAACTGCAAACAGCTGCTGCCACATGAGAGGAACTCTCTGTGTGAAAGTGTTCCAAGGGGAAAATACCACTAGAGTGGACAAATTCATACACACACCCTCTGACACTTAAATGCTAAGACAAACCTGTTTCCAGTGGGAAGAACTGGTAAAAAAAGGTTCCATGAAAACAGAGTTTAAACAACTATTTATGGTATGCCTGATGCTTTACATGTGTTTGTGTTTCGCGCAATAAGCAAAAAAGGCCAATGGCTGTCAGTTGCATTAACTCTATGTTGAATTATTTGGTCCAGCTCAAGAAAGTATCTTTAAATATAGTCGAGATTGTCCAGAAATTAATATAGGCGTTCATGAGGAGGATGAGGGCCACAATTTAAGTTTGTATTAACCAAAACCATTTTATTTTTTTAAATGAAATTCACTGAGTTAATTCATGATCCCCAGAAGATAGACCCTTTCCATTGTGGGAATCCTTTTGCTTTCATTTGTGCCACCGGTCAAATGTCCAGACATGTCATAATCCAAAAGGCAGATTGAACTGGTCACATTCATGCTGCCAAGGGAACCAACCCATTTAAGTTGAGTGTTTGCCTAAGTACAAGCCTTATTATATCAGAAACACTGTTTGTTTTATCCAACAGATTGTGGAGTGTAATGTACATTTCAGCCTCTAGGGGACACTAGCAGGGCTTCAGTGTCATTACTTTCTTATTTTGCTTTGGTTGACAGTGGAGTCCAAGATAAAGAAACATGTTGTTAAGGGTGGGAAAAAGTATGAAGTCATTTAATAACTGTGAAATAGCAAGGCAGGATTAGACTGGCATAAAAGGAAGAGAATGATAACTATAAATGGGAATGAAAACAGGGCGAGATGAAAGGGAACACAATCAGAAATGTGTGTGTTTGACTCAGATCCAGTGCCAAGGACAACCCCTGCAGCAACGTACAATTCAATGAAGGAAAAACAGTCCTATTTGTGTTCTACACACACACAAAAAAAAATCCAGATGGAGTGAAATACTTCTCACTAAAGAGATGATTACAGTATATGGGAAACCAACCCGGCCACATCTCCTTTTACACCTTTGGTTATTTCCTTCCTCTCTTCCCCTTCTCTCCCATATCCTGTAATAATTACTGTAATAATATACAGTACATTATCCACCTCACGCAGTTTCACCATTAGTGTCTAATCTTTTCAATACTTTACATTCCTTTCACTAAAATACTCTCTTCTATTTACTCAACCTGCTTGTCTTCACCCTATTTTCTCTTCATTTGTCCTTTCTATGTCCCATCATCCTGCCTTTTTAATCTCAATCTCCTCTCTTTTCCTTCCTCATCCAGCAAAGGAAAACCAAATCAAAGTCAACGCCACTCCACTTCCTCTAATTCAGCACCAGCTTCCTCTCTGAGGTCACTTCCCTTGCTGCTTTGACACCCTTATTGCCTGGAAACACACACTCTCACACACACACACTTGCTATTCTTTACAACTCATCCACCCCTGTTACCCCTATGCGCACAAACAAACATCTACAAATAAAGTCACGAATCAGCTCTTTTGTTATCGCATGAAGATATGAGGCCCCGCATTCCCCTTTTTTTCAACACAGTGTAGACAAAGCAAACACACTATATGATGGCAACATCAGCCGGATCGGAGGTGCTACAGCAAAATAGAGATTGAATGAAGATACGAAGTTCAACAGGGACTGTGAGAGTAATGACAAGACTATTTTCTCTTTTGTACCAGCGGTCTCCTCCCGCTTCCTTCCTGTACGTCCTTTCCCGCCTCCCTGACTCTCCCCTTATGTCATATATTCCTTACTCCCCCAGCTCATTGTCTCTTTTTCCACAACCTCCCCCCTTCGTCTTTCACCAGGTGAGCTGCAGTCTGGCAGGTCAAGACAAGTTTTCACCTTGTTGTGCTTTACTTTAAGCAGAGCAGTGAGGCGTATCAACCCCCCTTCTAGAGTTACAGATTTCAGCTCTGGCATCCTCAGGGGGTCTTTACAATCTGCAAACACCAAACCTGATGCTATCAGGCTATCTGGAGCGGAGAGCTCAAGCATGAGATTACTGGATGGTTTAGGTATTTGCAGGTTTATAGAAAAACTAGATTTGTATCACTTGGTTACTCTCTGCTTTGTGGCCCCTCTAAGCTCAAAGTTGGTGCATATAGTTAAACGTTAATCTACTAAAGAAACTGTTATTTTTTTAAGAAGTTAGTTGAAACTTCAACATGGCTAAAGGGACTTGAGGTGTTTTGGTGTAAGGTTATGTCTCTGGCCTAACAGTAACTTGACAGGATGTCACATTACAGCTTCAATTGAGTTTGATGGCAGAATTACAGTCTATGTGAATAATGAGTATCAGGTTCAGCCAGATATCGAGTGACATGAGGCAGACTGAGAGAAAGAACGTCCAGCAGAGTAAGCGTCAACATTTCATCACAAATGAACTCCTGGAATGGAATGCAATGAAAGGCTGGGGACGTTTATACAAATGTGTGTTTTGCCTTTTATGGGAAAATATCCTTAATGTGCAGAGCTGACCTACTTTTACTAATCCCAAATCTGTTTTACACCTGAACTAGCGCTTTAGATATTAAAGGAACAGCTTAAACAACTCCATACAATGTTTCTAAAATCAAGTGCACGCACACAGTCTCTCTTTGATCCCATCTGTAGGACAGCTGATTTCCCCCCAAATGCTCCGTTTGCCCCACATCTGGAGGTAGACAAAGAGAAAGTGATGGAAGGACTCATAAAAGCAGAAGGACAAACAGATCCAGCGTTCACGGACTGTTTCATCTCATCCTTTTTATTCTCCTCATCCTCTGCTTTCATCCCTCTGTCCCTCCTCTGCATCTGTTTTGTTTTCTCTCCATTTCAATTACCTTCTTTGTTATTGTTGCTGTCTGTTTTTCATGCAGATTGCATTCAGGACATTTCAGCCTGTTGCTCATGTTAGTGATTTGGAACATGTTGCTTGCACACATATTGTGAGCTGAGTTAAGCTATTAAGATAAGTGCATCAACATTATTGTTATAACTACAGCGGTACGCACAGAGTACAATGAACCACAGACAAATCATCAGGACTATTATTTTCATTGAACGCAGATATTCCATGTTGGCCAGCTGCTTCTTCTCCTGCTTTATTGAAACAGCTTACATTGTCCTTAGGCTAAGGGTGTTTCAAAGCAGACCACTCCTCAAGATGATTTAGACTCTGGGGTTTAAAGTTGACCAACTATAAGAATGATGGTGGGAATAATGATACCTCTAGCTGCAGTCAAGGTGACTGTTGAGCTTTTTTTAAACGTGCTACAGAAATAAAATGTGCATGGGTAAAGACCACCATTTGTGCTGAGGAGTGGGAGGATTTACTCTTTGTTAAATATGGTCAATTTATTTTTTACACGGAGTACATGACAGGGGAAAACTATAAAATATGTTGCACTGATTCCTGTTGCCTCTTTTTCAATCTATATTCAACTCCCTCCAAAGGTGGTTGTAAAGACAACAAATGTTGACAAGATTGTATATTTAATTATTTTCTGCGTCTTTGGTTTCGTAAATAAGTATTTGAAAAGGGTGCTTGTAGACTTTAAATTAGGGAAATATCACTACAGTATCTGTGGTTATGATGAGATTTTTAGATTTTAAAAACTGCTCTTCAAAATATGATACATTTATATAACAGAATCCTTTTTGTCTAATTTTCATGTGTCTTCATCTCTTTCTTGTCATTATCTATGAAGCCAAAACCATCCAATTTTCTCTCAGTTTCTTCTCTGTCCATGTATTGTTGATTATACCAAGTATCTTATTTGTCTAAAATGCTGTCTTCCCAGCTGTAATTCTCATGTTTTATCTTTAAATGCCATGTCTTACCCTTGTTCCTCTCTCTTTATCTCTCCCGTTCTCCAATCCCTCTGTCTCTCACTAACCTCCCCTCCCCTTACATTCCAGCATTACCCTCTCCTCCTCCCACCTGACAAAGCCAGCATTGTATCACAGATGTTGTTTAATATGGAGTCCCCCTCTCTGTGTCCCTCTTATAGAGCAACTCTCAGAGCTAAATGGGGTTATCTTCCTCCCTTCTCTTCACAACAATTACCCATATTAAACACAAAGTAGTTTAATATATGCCTTACGCATGCATCACACCATAGACGTCAGCATTCCCACACACATTTCATCCTTTTGTTCATGCTCTTCTCAGTCTCAGTGTGTTTTGTTGAAAACATTTCAAGCTGATAAACATAACTTGACCTTGAACCGCTGCTGAAACACAACAAACATCCACAAGCATTGTCCTCCAATTGAATCTTTCTCACACTCCACTGAGCGTTTTCTCTCTTTATCATTTACCCAAGTGCAAAATCCTCGCAGGAAAGAAAGTCCATTGTTTTTGCAGCTGACTCAACGTCGGAGGAAATCTAACGTCAGTTTTTATCTCGGGTTTGTGTGTCTCTGGAAAAGCCCAGATTACCTTTACCGCCATATGGAGGGGATCAACTGATGTTTAGGTTTCTGAGGGGCCGGATATGACAGGGAGAAAAATGACAGAGAGAGAGAGAGAGTAGTGAGATGTAGCTCACATTAACAAAGCTTGCATTGTGAAATGAACTGCTGGACAGATAAGAGAAGAAGAGGAAGGCAGAAGGATCGACTTTGAGATGATAAGAAAAACAAACTGAGCAGCGGGGAAACAAAGGAAAAGGAAATGGATAAAAAAACAGACTTAAGAATTCAGAGAGTAGGGAAATAGATTGTTGACCAAAAAAACTGCATCACTGCCTCCAAACTAAATATTGCCATAAACTGAACTGATTACAGTTCAAGCATACCTGGCACACACATTCATAGTAAATACTGTGGGAACAATCTTACAACTACAGTACAAGTGGAATTATAATTGGTTCAGCACATGAATTAACCTTTTAAGTGCTGTTTTGAATCTGGTAGGAGAACTTGAGGCAGGACGGTTGTATTCTCCTGGTTTCCACATCATGGCAATAGCCAACACTCCAAATATAATGGTTTTAACATTAGCTTAGCATTTTGATGTCAGTTTTTATTTTAAAAAGCCATGGACGTCCTGTCCATTTCTAAGATTTTAACTGAAAGCGAGTTTAAATTTGTCCCTCTGATGTACATTCGTTTTTTTAGTTTCACTATTGCCATCTGTACGGTGTATGGAACACCAAAGAAAAATCCACAACCTAATAATTACAGAACTGAAAAGAGCAACACCACATGACCCAAGTGTACAATGTCCTAATTGGGAAATCAAAGGTAATCAGATCAATTCGATACACAGGGCATGATCTAATGTGAACCTTTCACAAACTCCCAAACCACAGCCATACTTACTCTTTATCCATTCTTTAAAATCGGACATGTAGAAGTGGTGGGAGGTGGAAAGATGTGGTTTCTTAAATGTTATGGTTGAAGTTAGGTCACATGACTGGCTGCATTAGAGGGGAAACAACATGTATGCTTCAATGAACTCCAGGAAGGTCCTCATCTGAGTCAAGAAATCATCTTCAAAGGGTTATTTGTGTCAAATGTGGGATGACTCCCTTATACACACAACAACAGACAAGTCTACAACTAAATCAGTCCTCTTTGGGCCTCACAATATGACCTGGGAATATCAAATGATATCATTTATACATCAGTAATATTCCAATGTGAACTTCTATGTCATCAGCATTAATGAGTCTTTGTTTGTCTTTTTTCTTTGTTTTATCTTGGAGTGGAATCCCCCACAGCATTTCTACTTTAAATCAGTTTTACAGAAACAAACAAAACGTTCCCTGCGTTGATTTTTGACACACTAATCTGGAATTAAAGTTGAATATAATTAGTTTACTGTTACCTGCTGTAGATTTAAAACCAGTGGCTGTTGAAACAACACGAGAACAAAGTATATTCTGTAATTTCCCCATAAAAACCCGCGCTTACCATTATTGAAGCGTGACTGGCCACTTCTGTCATCGTGCAGAAAAGGTCGCAATTACGCAGCTGCTCCAAATCCAACAAAGGTCTGTCACTGCTTCACTGTGATCAAAGTCCCGACTGCGAATACATTCCCTGTGCAGCATGAGCAACCTGTGTATGTCTTGGAGATACTTTAAATCATCTGTCACATTAACACACACACGATCACAACACACTCACAAGCGTAAAAAAGCCGGCGGCCGCCTCAGCCAATCGCGACTTGTGGAGGAATGCAGGAACAGCTGGAAGTGGAGCTGGGAAGGGAGTCTCTCTCTCTCTCTCTCTCTCTCTCTCTCTCTCTCTCTCTCTCTCTCTCTCTCTCTCTCACACACACACACACACACACACACACACACACACACACACACACACACACACACACACACACACACACACACACACACTCTCTGGATATAATGTGCAGGTGTTAACAGACCACCTACACTTGACCTCTCATTCTCACTGGCTCAAAATGAGAAGCCTTTAGGCTGGAGAGGACCAAAGAGAGGGAGAGCATTCTTTCAGATACTTGGCAGCATTGATAAGGAACCACGATAAGAGGCATGTTTGGCTAATGATATTAGAACAGGAATGCAGTCTAGACTCACTTCACATGACACAATGCAGTCCTAATTATGCAGCTTTTGATTAATTCAGTCTCTGGAGATCTAGAATGGAGCACAAACTGGTACATCTACAAAATGCAGCAGGAACTTTGATTACTTAAAAAAGGATAATAAAGTGTAAGTATTTTCTCTTGCTAGAAAAAATACCTCTTACCTCATTCGAAGGATATTTACTGTATGAGATAGGCCTTTTTATATACAAGAAGAGGTCATATTTATATAGGTATAAAGCATACCTTGGAGACAGACCCAACATAAACACCCTTATGATATAAACACACCGATTTGCAAAAAAGAAAAGCATGATGATCCAAGTTTTTTTGCATTTTCATCCAAATGGTAATTATAAAGCAAAAAAAAAAAAGATTATCTTATTTTCAAACAGGCAAACCCATACTTTATGCAAAAAAACATGTGCAATTTATTCCCTAAAAGCCAAGAACTGTTGGTATTTAAGCAGTGGCAGGCTACTCTTAGTATAAGTTATGCACCATCTGAAAACTCTCTGCTACATGTACAGTCATGCACCAGTCTGGAGATATCACGGAGGAGAGGCCAGGAGTTCTGTATCAGAGAGGTATGTCATATTATTTGGCAGAGGTTCAAGTTTTCTCCACAGTTCATCAGAGAGGTTGCAGAAAACACACATTATGCACGACTATAATACAACCTTATTCAGGCAGAATGTTGTTTGTGCACACACACCACAACTGAAGTGGAATGTCCGGTGTGTTCTTATGGCTGGAAAATGACAGATGTCGTCTTTGAAAGTGGTTCTCGGGTTAGGACTGAGGCCAGAGAGGGTTTGCCTTCGCACACAAAACAAACAGACACACACATTTTTAAGGCAGCAGGACTATCTTATCTCACAGGCACCACTGGGATCTCTCTGTGGATAAGAGAGCATGATCCACTTTCACCACTGCTTCCTTGAAAGTGAATCTACAATAAAGTTAAAAGACCCAACTGTAGGATAAAATACAGAAACAAATAAGTATTCTTTATATTTTATATAAGGCCAAACTTGGAATAGGTTAATTGGGTAGGGGGCAAATGCTGTCCATTATGTTTTTATGTTTGCTTTGATATGGCAATATTTCACATGGTCATTTTAGGTCTTGGCTCAACAGATGCATCCTGAAGCCTTAAAAGGGGCACAGCTAAATGTTATCAGGATAAGGCTCTCGGAAAATGGTTCATTTCCTTTTGAAGTGTTTCCAGGAGTTATTATGCATCCATGGTTGCTTGCTAGCATGAGAGCGGCTAAGCTTTCCCAATGACATCATCTAACGGAGCCTGTGGGTTTGGTTTGAGGGTCACTGAGCGTTTGACAGCATTCCGAGGTGATCCCAGGAGGCTGAGCAGGAGCTCTGGAGCTGTCTGGACAGGGATTCAAACCGGCGACCCTGCAGTGAGAGACAGCTTCATTTAAATCCATCATACCTTTCAGTCTTATTTAAATTTTGCCTGTCTGATGTAAAAAAAAGGCTCCGAAATATCTGAACCACTTGACATCAAATCTCCGTTGTCATCAATGATGAAGGGCTTTGAGGATTAGTGTGTGTAAAACTATTCAACCCACACGCTTTAAATGACAACTTAATGACAGATAATTGGAGGACACTGACACTGTTTGTGGCTTAAGGGTGATTGAGGTGCATTTGTATTTGCTTGCAGGCGTCTGGTGATGTGCCTCTACTCGTTCTGCCTTTTTTCTTTACCGACCCCACAATGTGTCAGAGGTTTAGTCATAAGAAGAGTGTCACCGGTTTTTACAGCTGTTTCAATGCTGTAGTTGTTTTGGTCAATGAGGGAACACTACCACATCTGTGTGTGATGGGTGTTGACTGACCTGGTTGATTCAGGTCAGACATCACTTAACACCCGGGATATAGCAGTGGTTACTTAAGTCAAACTTGGTTTACTCACCAGGATATTTGCAGAGTTGAATCACTTTCATAGTGTGACATACTCTCTAAGACACAAACACACCATGCAACCAAAGCATGAGTGTGACGATATTCCTGACACTCAAATGGCAAAAAGAAGACTGGAAACCAACTATCAATTTGGCTGCGTTGAAACCAAGTGAAGATTGTGAGGTTTAACTTTTGGTGTAGATGGGGGAAAAGACTGCATTTGTATTATTTAGGAAGAGAAAATTACGTCATGGGACTTAAAGGGTCATAACAATAAAGTGTGGCTGCAGATCTAGACTGTGGTGCCCAAAAATACACGTGTGTCAATGTTTGCATATATTTCTGCAGAGAATGTTTGTTGGATTACAAAATCCTGGCTGAAAAACCCAGGCTCAAATGCAGTACTTTAAGACTTTTTTTTATAAAATCATGCCTGAGTTAACGTCTTCTCCTTTGAAACCTTGGAAGCCAGCAGGGATCCAGAAAAAAAGAGAGGGAAGGAGAGGGGACCAATCCAAACAACAAAGGAATGCTCTCCATCAGTTGGAGCGCTCCGCTCTCCCACTTGCCTGCCTTGGTATGTGTAATTACTCTGCAATTAAAGTGCCTCAGCTTGTGACTGTGTGTGTGTTGGTGTGTGTGAGCCTGGCGGTGCTTGGTGACCATGCTGAACCATGTCAACAATGTGGCCTGGACATATCAGGCCATTTAACACAAGTGAGTCATAGAGTGAAAAAACGAAAGGCATAGTGGATGAAAATAAAACAGTATACAGTTAGATAATGATGCTGCTGAAGGAGGAAAATGAACAGCTGTTAAAATATCCCTTTCTCCATCTTAATGTAAGCTGACCTTTCTCTTACTTTCTTATCTTCTTCTGCAGTCTCCTCTTATTCTGGTAACCACAGGAATGCAGGTCGACTGTCCCTGCATTACTTTCATTTCACGCATAGTAATCACCTAGCCCACGAAGCAGAGCACAAACACAGAAACGCACACTAACTCAGACACACTGAGATATTCATTTCAAACGGCGATATTTTAGCCTTTCTGCCCTTTTCTATTTCAACATGTAGTAGACAATGTATTTTTTATAGAGGCCGATGCAGACATGAAATATCCTGGACATGGTCATATATACTGCAAATGCTCCTCTATGCATTTACCCCACATACCTAACTGTCTCAGAAAATTGTTTCCATTCCAGCATCTCGAGTCAAACAATGGAAGGGAAAAAATACTGAGCAAAAATACTATAAACAGAAACATTGATAGCCATGTATGTACATGCACATCTTTTATGAGCATTGTGGCACAACTTCCACACATATGTACCTCGGCAATCCCCCATAAAGGTGCAACGGTTTGAGGCTCTAGTTTAATGGAATAGCTTGACAATACTGAGAAGGTGTTGGCACAGCAGGCTGCTTTTTCATGACCTGTGACTTAACATAGAAACAAAAAAACTAGAACCTGTACTTTTCATTATTGGAAAACCGCCAAGTGCATAGTTAAAAAGCCAACTTTAGCTCACTGAACATCTGTTTACAATTAAACCAATTCCAATACCAGCAAAATGAATATTTTCTTTAACAATTCTTTATAAAAATGTGCTAGTACTCTGTAAACCAAATGCAATACCTATAAATTTGAAATATTTGAAATAGCACAACATTTATACAATAAAGGATCCATGATTAAAGAAAATCTATTATACTGTATATACAGAAAAGTAAAAACTTCATGCACATTGGAGATATGTAACAATTCAACGTAACAAAGAGTTATTAATTGATATAGGAATGGTCATTTAAAAAAATCCTTTAAAAATAACTGAAGGAACTCCAGCATTATGTAGAAAATCCTTATCCAACAATGTTTTTGGAAGAATCTGCAGTCCGACCTCCGACCTCCAATACGCTGTGGGTCAGCACATATTTGTTCTGTCGTGCAAACACGTGTCATCTTTGTTTTCGCTCCTGTTCAGACAACAGCAGGTTGTTGAGTTTGATGACAATGTTTGCAAAGTCAGTGAGCTCCACAAAGTCCGAGGTGATGATGTTGACCCCGTCCAGCCCCGGCCTCTGAGCCTCCACCCAGGAAATGATGGTGGGCAGGTTCCTAGAGGAGAAAGCGTATATGAGAAAGCAAACAATAACATTTCTTAATGTTAAACTGACAGATTCCCTGACCTTACAAACAATTATCTAAAGCCATGTTTCTGTCTCTGGAAGGATTATTGTTATGATTATAACATGTGCCAAACTCTAATCAGTTGTTTCTTAGCTGAATGTCTGTCTGTCCACCTCATTTCATTTGTTGAGACGATTCTGAGATACAGTAATTGGTTTTGGGAGACAATGGACCTGATGGGAAAAAGTGAAAGGGAGTGCTGTTAGTTTCCGTCTGTCTGTCAGTGACTGCATTTTCTGCTCGTATTGCTTTGAATTCAAACACTTTCTGTTTTAGTTCTTGTCGTAGAGGCACTCACTGACCATGGCTCTGTACTGTAGCAGTTCCAACACTCTTAAATTCTCTGCTATGTCTGAGCCGCCTGCAGCAGGACAAAACCAGGAAGTCTGTTGTGTATCCAGCAGTGATAAACAATCCTATTTCCTC